GAGAAGTCTTCCTCGCTGCTTTTGTGTCAGACTACAGCGCCACCTACAGGCCTGGCATATGTACTACAGCGTCTCCAGCGCTTTCGAACGGCAATGTCCGTGGCTGTCTCCTCCTGATTGGTGGAGAGTTGCCCATATAGGCGGAGATCCTCGTTCCTGACGTCAGAGAATTTTCAAATCTGTATCAGTCTGTATCAGATCCGTTGCAGCCCCGTTTTTACAGATTTGGGTATGGAGGAAAAGAGAGAGGGTTGTGTTTTCTGACACTTGGTGAGTTCCCTGACACACCAGGGACACATATTCATGTATAAAAGACGTACAAAAGTGCATTTTGCATGATAGGTCCCCTTAAAGGGAGAGCCTGAAAAGGAGGAGATGTGCTCCAATTTGGCCCGCTACCTTTGAAATACAGTTCTTTAAAAGTTCTAAGAAAAAAAAGTATATACACAGATTTCCAAGTTATTAAAACTGTTTATCCCTTATTTTCTCTGAAGGAAAATAAACAACATAAAAGTAGAGTTGGAAGGAAAAAACAAAGTGTATTGATCTCCAGGTAGTCTCGGTTTATACTTCATTTTCAGTTCTTCATTCACAAATAAGCAAGAAAGGATCCTGATTGTTTTCCCATATGGATGCATTCTGAGAACTACAAGGCAACGAAAGAAAGGGTCTTAAAATGGAACAAAGAGAGTAAGTGGGAAAGCAGATGGAATCCAACAACAGCAGGGGAGAAGATGGAAGAAAAAAGGAGTGGCTTAGAAGACAGAAAGAGGCTTTTAGATCACAGCTTAGAGTAATGCTGAGTTTTGTCTCCTAGTCACTGGGGCCGATTCTCGTCCGCATGAGTCGAGTGGCTGTAGATGCAGTTAACACAGCCACGAGTGATGACAGAGATCCGATGAGACAGACAGATACACGGACAGTAGGGGAAGCACTCTGCAGGAAGCTGAGGCAAACTACATATGGACTCCCCCCCCCTCAGTCCCTGTCTCCAAGGGGCTGTCCGCTACAATATTCAGGTCTCTCACTCCTCTGCCAAATACAGCGCAAAAAAACAGCACTGCCGACACAGCACTTCTCCCAGTTTCTGCATATATTTACAGCCTACGGACAGATTAACATGTGTGTTACCGTATGCGCCTATATGGAAACGCAATGTTTGTTCAGGGCTTTGTGCATACATTCCTGCATGCATGTGTTATGTGTGTGTGTTTTGAGAACACCCTGTGCAACATATAAAATATTAAAAGGTGAAGATGGAGATGTCAGTGTGCTGGGATTGGCTGGGGACGTGTCATGATCCTCAGCAGGGCTATGAGCTGTGATAATGGTTGTCTGGCCCACCCACTCATTACTTCCATGTTCACCCCCACCCACCACCATCATCCTTGTTTTCCCACTGAGCAAATGACCTTCATGCCTGAAACGATTTCTCCTCCTGATTGCGCGAGGAGAGTATTCTCTAGATGTATAGCAAGGACCAAACAGCTTTGAGTTGTTGCTGCGCACCAATTCTGATTTCAGAGGATTTCATAGCTGAGTGGACACTGATGTCCTCGTGTCAGCTATAATGGGACCACTTTCCTTTCATGCAAATTGATCTGGGAAAGTAGAGCTAAGAGGCTGTCAGTACAGAGAGAGGGAGAAAATCTATAATCTTTTTTCAAAGATTTTCTTTGGAAGAAGAACAAAAAGAGGTTATCACAAAACATTTCAACTCACCACAATGATTAAGGTCACCGGTCCAATGAAGCTCCAGATGAAATGGTTATCAACCCTCAGCCAGCATCTAAAGGGTGCAAAGAGGATATTCAGTTGACGAAATTATCTCATTGCCAAAACACAGTTGTGTCTCATCGATCAGGTCCCAGCAGAGCCGGCTGCATGATACACCACAGCAACAGAATAGAGACTCCTCTGACCACAGAGAAGAAAACCCGACCTTGAGAGAGCGCTGGCCCCGTGCCATGAGAAGCTGCAGTCTAAAAGCCAGCGGTTATTGGACTCATGACTTCACAGTCTATAAATGTGGGATGTCTGACTGTGTGTATACCTTAGAGTCTGAACAGTAAACAATGTATTGTAGACAGTTCAAGAATGAATTGCACTTGCGTCTGTGTTTATCACCAGGAAACAAAAACGAAGTGAAGACTACAGCCATAAAATAGAGTTTGAAAAAACGTTAGCCTAAATTCCATAAATTAGAGGATTGCAGACTTACAAGTCATAAAACGTGCTGCTTGGATGAAGACCAGCAGAGGAAGTGCATAACATTTTAACTGACAAGGGGGGCAATTATCCACATGCAAAGAATAAAAAACCCAGTAGGCTGGTGCAGCTAGCCAGCGCGTTCATTAAGGTTGCAGCTTTGCTCACAGCCTCACAGAAATGTACACCCCATCACAGCTGCGACAGGGTGTACATTCACCAAGGGGCAGAGGTTCCACACTCTTTGGGATATTAATATCATTAGCACACACATGCATGCTGATGGGGAGAAGGGAAGACTAATGTTCCTCATTTTATTCAACAAAACAGGAATCCCTACAAAGATGTCACACTTACGCCCGCTGGGTGCCATAGCCTCTGTAGTCGATGGCGGCTGAGATTCCCACAACCACAGCCGGGATGAGGTACCCAGAGATGTAATAGTACTTCCTGCGCGAGAACTCGCTCTCAAACACCTCGACCAGCATGAGGTACAGCTGCACACCCTCCAGACACATCCAGGCGAACGCAGCCAGGAAGCAGAAGTGGAGAACGCCGGCAATGATGGAGCACACCAGCTGACAGGAACAAACATGCAGACATTACACTCAAATGTAAGAGGTTGTTCAAAGGGATAGAGGGATCTGACTTTTCAGACTTTTCCTTTTATTTTAAAAGCTCAATAAATGGTGACAGTAGCCCAGATTAGTAAGATCTGTACAGGATCAATTAGTGGGTCTATTTAAAGCTGACCCAATCAATATTTTTGATTGGATCTAATGACTACATGTAATGTGAAAGGGGTTGCTTAAGATTTTTTGTATTTCTCAGCTCAATGTTTAGCTGAAGCAGCAGGCAGCTGTTGACAGCAAAGAACCTTTGATAACCAACTGTGCACTACCTGCCTGGAACACAGACAAACAGCTTTAGCTGCCAAAGAGCCAAATATTTCCCTCAGGAGTTTGTAGAGACAAAATCAGAGCTAAAGGAGAGTGAATATTGGCCTTACATTCATCAGGTGTGCAGAAACACTGCAGTGCTCCACATGAATGTTAATGTTACTGGGTTTCTGCTGGGCGTGTAGAAAGGCTTACACCTTTATAAGGTGATAGAGTGGCAATGTTTAAATGTATTTATATCACCACTAGTTCTCAGAAATGACATTACAGTATATATGTAAATATATGTTTGGTACCATTTTTAGTGTTAGACATTTTTACTATTATTAGCTTAGCTAAGCTAATAATAGTAAAAAAAAACTGTATACATAAAATCATCAATACAATGGTCCTTAGAATCCACACTGTGAAACAAAGCTTAATTCAAAGCCATATCTTTTTATTTTAAGTTTTACTAAAGATGCAAAAGTTTTCAAAGACCTAAATAATGCAGTGTATATTAGGTAATGTATGGAATATTTGTATATGGTAAAATAGTGAAGCTTTAGAAACCCTTCCCCCCCAAATACATCCCGAGTTTGAACATTTTACTCAGAGTCAGCATCATAGATTCATTGAAGTGTTAGAACTAAAGATAGAGTATTTATATGTGGAATTTAAATATAATATGGATTGTATGCTAACCTAACAGCCACTGAATGTACCTTTGGCTCTGTCATGTTGATGCCCACGAGGTAGACGAGCTCGCCGATGAACAGGTTGAGGCAGAGGTTTTTGTGGATGGTGTTGCGGTCGCTTTGTAGACCTCTGAAGAAGCAGAATGTGAAGAGGCTGATGGCAAGGCAGACGAGAGACACAGCGATACCCATCCGGGTGATAACAGTGAGCAGAAGATCATGGACGCTTCCTTCCCCCTAAAGAGAAAGAGACACATTGTCTGAGAACAGAAGCAGGTTTTGCATGCTGTGTTCCTCCTGTTCAAAAACCCCATTAAAATGTCTCTTTCTAAGATTTGGTGCAAAATCCAGTCCCTGTGAGTTAGACAAAATATGTAGATTTCTTTCAAAGTTACAGTCTTTCAGTGTGGTAACTATGTTTCACTGTTGCAATGGAGATAGTATTACAAAAACAGTTAATTCTGTACAAAAAAGACATAACTTTAGAAGATATGCACTCAATTTGAGCAACTCAGACACCGTTGGTGTCTTATATTAGATCCAGCGACCCTAATCCTTTACCCTGATCCTACCTGATGACATTTGGCACTAAAAGAATGAACATGCTTTGATCACATGATGGCCATGTGGCAGAAAGCATCAGTTTTAAAAACGACCACAAAAACCACGTGATTGAACGTCCACATGTTGGTTCTCCTTTTTGAGGTGAAATCATACATTTTAAACTGAGCCTGTTTCAAGATGGGCAGCAAGCAAATGTGAAAATAGCAGACCTGACCATACAATTGCCACTGAAGGACATGGTGGCCCGAAAGTGAGGCAATTCCTCCTGTGATATCCGTAATTTTATTGAGGGCAGGAGTTGCAGTTGAGGTGATGTGCAGGGAATTGGTGTGAGGCTAAGCCTTTCCTCAGGGCTCTGGTTTCGAGCTGTGGTTAAGGTTGAGGTTAAGACAGATGACAGGGACAGAGTTCATGAAATGGGACGTATTATTAAAAGAACCACAAACTTATCCTTCACATTTATTACTGGCTAGGTCCCCGCCACACATGCTATTTATCATGTAATTGGATTGTAATTGCATTTCTCTACCAAATGGATCCTACACCACTTCAAGCGGGGTGGAAACACAAGTTAAATCTGAGGTTATACTGCGCCTTATGATTCTCAGGAACATATGCATGGAGGAATAATAGACACGGACCATAGGTAAAATATAATTACCTCTGATAATGGTATGGCTCTTCCTATCCTGATCCACAATCTCGCTCTTTTAAAGTGACAGCACGCTTCCTATTCCCCACCTCCTCCCCCACCCTTACCTTCTCCTCCAGCAATAATCTAATTATCTCCACTGAAATGGCATTCTTGTTCTTCGCCGTGTGCAAAAATCTGTCAGCGAGACGGAAGAACAACAAACTGAGACAGAAAAATAGACCCTGCAAACCACAAGGAGAGGGCCACTTACCACATTTCCCCGATGAGCCATGAGGATGGCGAAGTTGGTCAAGTGACTGCAGGAGCAAGTGGTGTGGCTCTTATTGGTTTCCAGCAGTTTACAGCCCTGAGTGGACCAGTATCCCATCATGCTGCGCTCTGAGTAATTCCAGAAGGAACAATTGGGGTTGTGGTAGTGTATCTTCTACAAAACGCAAACACAGAGAGAGAGAGAGACAGAGAGAGAGAGAGAGAGAGAGAGAGAGAGAGAGAGAGAGTGACGATTAAACATATACTGTATGAACATGCGCTGCAATATGCATGATTGTACACATATATATATCTAGCTGTAAGAAACAGAAAGTCAGTATACCTGATGTGCTAACAAAATTATTTAAATATAATCTATGGTTGGAAGAAAATGATCCAGATAAAGAAATATGTTTATTTGTTGAGATGTTGGAGGTTTTGGCAAATTCCAAGCACAGAAGAAGCATGACTTGCATCTCTACTGTACCTCTACTACAATCACCACCTGTACTGTAACACCGGCATAATATAGATGACTTCTCTTTACTCCAACAGTTTTTCTATAACAATGATCCATCAAAAGGATTCATTCGCCCTTCACTTCAACAGTTTGTGCAGCTGTTTCGGCTCTACAGTGTGGTCTGGGTGAGTCCCAGGAGAAGGCTTACATCCAGGTGCTCCAGTGTGAAGATCACGGGGTCTGCCACAAACACACGGCTGGACTCCTTGGTGATAGAAGCCGACAGGATGTGGGAGTTGACGGTGAGGGAGATGTTGCGTTTGCTCAGGTCCCCCATTCCCCTCAGTGTGGCGTTCTCGGTGCTGAGGAACTGACCCAGGTGTTTGTAGAGAACGAATACCAGCTTCGCCACACCTGCAACCGGCAATAAAACAATCATCAGACATATACAGCAGCATGAATCACAAAAAAAGGATTGATTTTGCAGTCATGGGCAAAATATTAAAGAAATACTTTCAGATTTTGGGAACAACTTGTCATAACAATGATTCAATGTTTTATTTCTCACCATTTTTGCTGTTGACCTTGACCGTGTTGGAGGAAAGCCGAAGAGACGCTCCACCCTTGCTTGTCTGAGGAAACCTGAAGTCTTGCACCTGACCGTCGGTGCTTAACACATACACATCCAACACTGAGAGATGGTAGAGCGTGAGGGGAATGAGAAAGAGATAGAAAAAGAGATAGAAAAAGAGGGATGTATTACTCATTGGGAATAATCTCAAAAAGCGATATGTGGTGTTTAACAGAGCTCCCCTAATTCTAAGCGGGGTGTGTGTAAAGACTCAAGGTTCATTGTACCAGTAACATCATCTTATATTATTGTCCAGACCCCGTAGAGTGTCATTTACTTAAAGGACCATGTCGCTAAGCTGTTAGTTGGCATTGTAAAAGCCTCCGAGGCAGGAACTAAAAGATAAAATGACAACAAGGGCAGTGATAGAGGATGAGCAAATGCAAGCATGCAGCCTACTGCAGCATGAATGTCAAATATTCATAGGATCAAAAATATCATTGAGATTTTACTTTTACTTTTTTCTCCCCTGTGGGTTCAGATAACTCTGGGCTCGACAAGCAAATCTCTGAAAATCCTCCAAATTCCAGCAGCCCCTCTCTCCGGCATGCCAGCTGCCGGGTGGTGTTCCCTTTGATGTGTGAAATTACTGAGGGGTCAGGAGGACACACGTATCAGCACACTCCCTCCCATCAGAAACGGCCTCACTTCCTCAGATAGATGGCTTCTGACAGTCGGAGATGAGGAATTGTCTCTGGTTGCACCCCTCCTCAGTGTAGTTTCTACTTCTCTTTCCCTCCCCTCTTCTTGCCCTTGTTGCATGCCTCGAGGTGCCGTTTTTTTTTTCTTTCTTCGACAAACTGCTAATTAGGAGCAACAATAATTTTCCCATTTTTTTCCAAATCTTCAAAGAAGGTTAGGTAAGCTGCTCTCGGAAATTGTGTGTTTCTTCATATGGCTGTTTTCATGTTTCTCTGCTGGAATATTATCTCTAATATGCAGATAAGCATGAGCTTGAGAAGCTCATAAAAACTGCCTGATGCGGTGATTAAGTGTCCAATATACAGCATATTACACAATGTATTAATCAGTGCTTTTGGAAGAGACACAGCAACTAGTCCTTATCAGCTTAGCTAACTACCATTTAATGGGAAAGGCTTGGAGAGAACTGATAGAGTGCCGTGTGAATGGAACAATGCTATTCAAATGGTTTCTTTGTTTCCCCCCAGAGGTCTGGACAGTTTATCTTTCAGCACACAGTCAATGAGGTGACTTTACTATGCAAAGCAAAAATATTAAAAATCAATGAGGTATAAGACAAAAGGGTGAGTAGGAGACCATATCCATAGCAACTAAGAGCTATGAGTATAAGTATGACAGTCTACACAAAACAGCCTTAAATGAATGAGACCATGTTGCTAATAAACTGCCTGTCAGGGCATATTTTCTTGTTGTTTTGGATACATCTAGTGTTTGTATGTCAGTGAAATATTGCCCTATTAAAAATAATATTCTCCTTTGGGAATAGCAAAAAAAAACAACCCTGAAGACAATTTTACCACACAGTTTGAAACACTTTTAAAGAGATTGATCACGGCCCAAACATAATAAATAAGGATTAGCATGACAATTGTGACTGACAGACATTTTCCTGTTATTTTTTAGTTTTATAGATGTTGGAGAAGGACTTACTGATATTCTCTGCGGGTACTTTAACTATCGCTGGCTCGATCAGGTTTTCAGCAAGGACAAATGCCCCTTCCTCAAGGGTATCCAGTAGCATGGTGGCGGCGTGCGATTGTTCCGTGGAATTCATGTCTTTCCAGGATTTCAGAGCTTCCGGCCTCAGGAGGTTGTCAACAGTGTCCACGATTGCCTGTATCCATGGAGACAAGTGAAATGTCAGCTCGCTGTTTCCTCCGATCATAACTTCAGTTTAATAACAAAGAACAGGATCGGGCAGCAAATAACAGAAAGGGCATGCATGGCTAACAGTGACAGCAGCAACAAGGACTGACACTGAAATATCAACATCACTCTGACTGAGGGTTCAAGGAAGACAAGGGTAACTAAAATAATAATAATGATGATAAAAAATGCAGTATGTTTTATTTAATATTCTGTTTATGAATAAAAGGCTTAATCAAAGGAAACCTCTTTTGGACCACTTTCTTTATCGAATAATGTAAAAATGCTTGAGGGGATGTAAAATACAAACCAAATGTTTTGCTTTTCTCTTTATTAAATGAAGCTGCCTACAAAGCTTCTTTCTCAGTTCTTTATTTTTAAGAAGGTATATTCCCAACAAGTACCACCATAAATCACAGTGCTATTTCCCTAACCGGATCCGCCCATAATGGCCTTGAACACTTTTCTCCTGGAGGAAAGTGGGCATTATCATGTAATCCATGTCCAGAGTGGCAGTTTGAGTCAAGATGGGGGAACATTTCTGCTTGTTTTCAATGGCAATCCTTTCATTTCCTGCTTTATGATAAGCAGTAAGTCAGCAAAACATTCCACCAAACCCACACAAGTATCATATGTTGATAAAACAGGAGTTTCCTTTGACCCTGGAAGAGTTCATGACTCCTGCCTGACACAACAGCCCCGACCTCAATTTCCCAAATCCCACCAAACACAGACAGTTTTACAAAGATTCTTAATCTAGCTCAACCCCTGGTATAAATCAGAGTGACAATTTAACCATAGGTGCCATTAACCACAGCAAGGCCCACCACAATAACGGTAATTAACCACAACAAGCCCTGCTCACTGTACCAATTAGTCACAGCTGTGATTATCCAAAACACTAATTGACCACAGACAGGATTATCCGTTTGCCTGAAATAACAAGAAAAGAAATCAACCAAAGTCTGCACCACTATATGATTAACCGCAACATTTACCCACTGAGATCATATTAAACACGGCCATGACTGTTTCCAGACGCGGGGCTCTCAGCGTGTCTTAATATCTCGTCCAGAGCACAGAAATCAATCTCTATGGCCCTGACCTTGCAGGCCACTGGAAGCCTGTGAGCTGTGACTATGATGGGAGTAAGTGTCCATGTGTCCGTGTGTGTGTGTGTGCGCAGGAGAGAGAACAGTGGCTATTATAGGGTAGGAGCCATTACAAGAGACAGACACTAACCTCCCTCGGTGAGCTATCCTCAAAGGAGCCATGAAACCGAAAGGGGGAATAAAATCTTGTCTCTAATTTGTGAAGCACCGGAAGAATCGGTGTATGGACTGACTCCTCTTTAATTCTCGCCTTGGTGGAGGTCACTTTGCAAATCACAGGGGCGCTACCTGAGGAGCTACCATAACTCGCTATAGATAGTGAAATGAAATGAGCTCGTCTAACAAGCCATCCCTGTCTAAGGGCTACAACCTATTATGAACATAACAGTTTCACAAGAACTAGCAGTAAAGCTAGCAGATCTGTGAGGCTGAACTTGAAGGCTTTTCTTTTAGCTAAATGCTAACATTAGCCTTAAAACTATTACTATTATGATGCAACGTTTGCCAGGTGTAAAGTTCAGCGCTTAGTGGGATAGCAGGTTAACATTGATAATTAGAACTGCACACAAGGTTAAAATGAGGCAGATGGTACATTTAGCAATTTGGACAAATTCAAATTGAGTTTAGGGGATCACCAAAGTTAGGGCAATTCATCCTTAGGGGGGACGTGAATGTCTAAATGTTATGCAAATCCATCAGATAGCTGTTGAGACATTTTTCTTAAAGGGTAACCTACACATCTGTTTACAGGTCTTGAGATGATGTTTGTGGTTCAGCTGCCTTGATTTTGATATATTCTTCAAACTGTCTAACATAAGTCTCACAAGGAGAGTCCAATGCTAAACCCCTGTCTTTTTAAACCACAAATTCCAACCTCATGGGGCCTCAACATGAAAAGCGAGGGGATCAACAAAGTCATTAGGATTCATTCTCTGGGCATCATGAATGTCTGTAGAAAAATGTCCTGGCAATCCATTCTACGGTTATAGAGATCTTTCATTCTGGATCAAAGTGGTCTAGGCCTAGAGATAGACTGGCCGACAAGACCTTCCATAGAGCTATGCTGCTAGCACTGCGAAAAATATATTCGTAGGGAAATGTAAGGCCTTTTTCTCTCAGTAAAATAAGACCCTCAAACTTTTAGGGGCCCCCATGAGCCACTGACAGAAACAAAATCTGTTCATTTGTATAATGCCATGCAAGGCATCTTCTCCCCAGTGTTTACACCATGCTTTCAGCAGAACCTAAACGAGGGAATATTTTTCAGTACAGCAGAGGAAAAACGTCTAGGCGAAAGACTAAAACTTCGAATTGAACACAAACATATTAATGGGCTCAGAAATTAATCTCACAGATAGCACACGGCTGCACCGGGTGGAGGAGATTTTTTTTGTGTTATGGGTACAAGGGAGACTAGAAATTGTACATTATAAGCAAGTGAAAATTGAGCACACTGCCACTTTGATCACACTTCTGGCTGACAGGGAGGTGCAATTACGACCGTGGGAAGGCAATTATTCACACAATGTATGAAGAGTCGACAAGAGAGATAAAAAGAGTGGGGGATGAGGAAAAGGAGGACAAATAAAAAAAGAAGGAAAGATTTACAAGTGATAGCACGCAGAGGAGGGGAAACAGGACAAAGACGGAGTGATATTGACAGTGGCGTCCTCAGTTGGACAGAATGAAGGGGGAACAGACAACCGAGTCAGAGGAGGAAGCAGCTACATCTTGTACAAGCAGGTCACCAGGCACAAACTGTAACAAGACAATCAAGGACATGGAGACAGACACTGCTGCATGCTGTTGGTAAGGCATTAGGGATCGGGGTACCAAAGCAACACGGAAAGCCTGCAGTAGTAGTTATACCTTCATGTACGCCCTGCATGTCTTCTCTCTTTTTTGAAGCTTTTCCACAAAACAAGAGGATCAAGCACAAAAGACAGATTGTAGAAAGAGGTGGTAAGAACACAGGAAGCATTAAGTCATGCCACTTACCATAACATACAGAAGTAATGAAAAGAAGAAAAGGCACAGGTCTAAAAACTACAACCTTGAAATGCCCCGACGGCTATAAATGTTTTCCGGGGAATTCTAAATATGAATATGTATATTAGTGAGGCGAAGGGATGAGAAATGCACAGCTGTGTAGGGAAAATGCTGAGACTAGATTCTGATGCTCCCAATTAGTGATGCTTTAAAATAAATGGAAAGATAAAATATGTGTGATGAGGCCATTTGTATTTCATGGCATGGAGATAGATTACTTTATATTAAAACCCTTTGTTTGTATCTTGGGATTAAATAAATCTCCATCTTCTACCTAATTGAGTCCAACCGAAGAAAATCACATACAGTGGCTTTCACACAGAATTGGAAAACAAAGAGATAACATTTTATTATATATTACAACCTTCACATAATAAACACCTCCTGGAAACACTCACACAGGAAAATAGTTCTTCAACCGAAACAAGGTTGCTGACATTTTCACCACCATTTACCACTTGTTGCTTTGCGGGAAAGGGCTGCATGACACGAAAAGGACCATATCATTGTTTAAAGTGGACCCATCATGCTATATTTGAAACATATATTGTAGGGCCATACCTATACAAAACATGTCTGTGAAAGTTTTTCAAAATACCAAACAGTTCACCCATTGTAGCCATCCCTCATACTGCTCAAACCCCTCTTTTGAAGCCCTGTTAGAGAAACGCGGATCTTGGGTCCTTAGCTTAAAAAAGAGAAAATAAGAGGAGGCGGAGCTAATGCCTGATCAGAATTCTACCGGAGATAAAGTTAAATTCTGCTGTGATAAAACGCCATCCTGTTTAAACCACGTCAAGGATTATTTCTGAAATAGTATGGAGCTCAAATGCTTTTTCTCTTGCAGGTTTATAACAAAGTGAGTTCTTTTTCTATTTCCTGCTTTTTAAAAACACGTGCTCTACACAGTACAGGTTAGCTCTGAGTGTTAGCGAGGCTTGCTAATGTAAACAAAGACGAGATTACGTCCAAAACACGTCAGGCATTGTTTCTGATAGCAACCTTCGATGGGTCCGCTGCAGATTTGACGTCAGTTCGGATGGAATCTGTATCCGCTCGTTGTACACCCGTTTTTAAAAGATTTGGGTACGGAGGAAAAGAGAGAAGGTTTTATTTTCTGATGCTGCCTGAGTTCCCCGACGCACCGGGGACACATATGTATAAAAGACATCACAAAGTGCATTTTCTATGATAGGTCCCCTTTAAGCTACTTCAGTACAAATCATGAACGTGTGATTTGTCGTTAACACAACAAAACTTGCTAATGTCCTTTAACTGTTGTCAATGTTGCTTGTCATCAGTCAATCACAAGCCTGAGTTTTTTATTTTGATGTACACCTCAGTTGGAAACCTGTTCTGATCTTCAAAAACAATGTAGGTGTCTTGAACATAAAGCCACAAAACAGGGGCATCATTCTGGTGCAAATAACCTTGTTTACAGAGCAACTGATGTCTAGAAAGTCTGAATAACAATGTAATTTTTCAATCTGTCACTCATCTCTCCATGGGACTGCCTGCAGCTGAGAGCTGTAAGTACGTCTTGGGCCTACTCCTTTCCTGACGAGCGAGGAAGCAGTTCCACACTTGTCAGCAATGAAGAGTTATTCTTTGTGTTGTAAGGGGGCTCATGGCCATTAGCTTCTTTAAGGTAAAACTGCCAGGTGAGCCTGGGTTTCCAAAGCCGGTAATTACTAGGGAGCTGTAGAGGAATGAGATCCCCTCAGGGCTAGACCTGCCTTCCTAGCCCCCTCACCCAAGACTCTGCGTGTCCATGAATGTGTGTGAGTGCATGCATGTGTTGTGTGTGTATTAGTAGGTGTCCTGCTAATGACGTCCTGAATCATGCTGACAGAGTTGGGGGGAAAGGGAGACAGAGCCAATGCGAGACATGAATTTCACAGTACCTTGTTGAAGCTGCGCCCAGCTGAGTCTTTCTCGCTGGGTCTGAGCTCCTGCAGCTGAGCATCCAGGATATCCACGAGCTGCTCCATCAGACGCACCGAGGAGCTGACGTCTCCGGCAAACACCGGGCCCTGTGTGTGCCGTGCCAGCTCATTGGCTAAATTAGCAGCATTTTCGCCACTCCGAATCTAAAAACAGCAACAAGGGAAAACAGGCGGGTGTCAGAGAAGCAGGCCTGAGATGCTTCTGCAAGCTGAAGCTGAAATAATGTATCCCGCATACACCCGGAGTGTCACAACCCATTGCTTGTTCAGGAGGAAAAAAAGTAACTGTGTGCAGGCTGAATATAAACACAATGAAGCATGTTTATCGCGGAACATAATGGCATGACTCTAACACACAAACTGAAGAAAATAAAATAAAAATCTGAATCAATAAGCTGTCAGTGTTTCCTCATCGGTGATCAGTGTGTTCATGGCTGTTATTTTACAGCCCTCCTGCATGCCTTGACTTAGCTTTGACCCAATTCCTTACTAAATCTATAGAGTATATACCGTATACTTATCTCCATGCTATAAAGCTTTTTGCACTTTGCATACAAGAAATCAATTTACTCTTCCATTTTGTACTGAGAGGGAAATGAAGCAATACATGCAAGCATCAATCAAAATGTGACTTTGGACTTGCACTGCCAATTAAACTTCACAAGGAGAAAGCTAATGCAGCGTTCATGTCATTTCATACAGACAACGGCTACGAGTGACTGAGTGGGAGCAACATGCATGCCACATATCAGTATATCTCCCACTTAGAGAAAATATCATAACAGTTTGTATAATGGCTGCAAAACCACCATATTATATATATATTGATATATAATAATAATTCAATGCCATTTCTAATAGAATCAATACATTCAATCGTACACATTATGTGTCTGCTTTCACTTGAGTATGAGAAAATATCTAACCAAGGCTAATATTTATCTCGTGTCACTACTAGACTATCAATGTATAAAACCACCTCAGAATATTACTGGGCGTTTCTAAATTGGAATAAAGTGTAGGTTTTACCCTTATTCTCAATGTGGCAACATGGCATGTTTGCAGTTAATGGGTTTTCAGACATATCATATTGAAGCTTTAACACAATTTATTTGAGTGTTTTGCATTTGCGAGAAGCTTCTATGTACACACATTGTGTCATAAAACACACTCAAACATTAAGCTGATTTCCTGTGGCTACGGCTTGTTTCTTTAATATGCTATACTTCAAAAACCTATAATTAGTAATTGTGACAATGCCAGCTACCAAAAGCCCTCTCTGAACCTCCTGCAGGTGCAAAGTGTTTTTCAGGTCGAGAGAAATCTCCTCAGAATGCAACATGTTGTGTGTTTGTGTTGCATTACGGTCTGTTCAGACTACTGAAATCATTATCTGTGTGCGTCTTCATTACATTTCTACCTGCATGACTGTTGAACTTCAAAGCAGATGAGTCAGAAAAGAAAGAAGCTCTGGCTCTTTGATTCTCAGATACTGACGGTAGAACATAGCATTTACTCTTGATAGCTAATTTATTTTGCCATCACACTTATAAGCTACACTTTTAAAAAAAAGGCTTTTCATCTTATTTACTCCTGACAACTCTCTGCTAGTATTCGGAAAAATAAAGAAAGCAAACAAAAGGGTCAAAAATTGCCACTAGATGTTTTATTTTTTGGCTTGTAACATGTTTTTTGCTGCTATATTTTGCAACTGACACATTGCTGTTTTACCTTTTGTGCCACTTGAGTCACCCAGTGGGAGGTGCAGTTGCTGAGGTCTGGTCCTTTGGAGCACCAGGCCCCTGCCACAGTGCAGAGGAAGGAGGCGATGCCTGCAGTAACACAGAATAAACACAACAGTTGGAGGGAAGCCAAAACCTTTGCTCAGATGCAGTTCCTCCCGCTGATCCCTCATTCATACAGACTCTCTGGTGCAGGAAACTAACTGTTTAGCAGAAGCAACCACTTCCAAACAATTTGAAAGGGCTGCAGGCTTTGTACAGTCTACAAAAACAGAAAAACACGTAGGAGGCATACTAAAACATTATCAGGTTCCTACATTGCTTGGACAAACCTGGCAAACAAACTGTTATTGAATGTAAACATATTCCAGTATTGTAAACATTGTATATGCCATGCATGTCAAAATATTCCTAATGAACGCCACTTCACTGACAACAGTGACAACATACATTATACAAACTAAGAATCGTTCCCTTTTCACCCCCAAAATCAAAACATTGTCTCTTTTTCACTTTCATCCCACAATAGCCCTGCTTTTTCTGTTGACAGTCATGTCAGTCTCTGAGATGAGGTGTTAAGGTAACTTGTGAGGGATTCCTTTGTGAGCATCATTGTCAACTGAACTGTTACAACAGCACAATGATCCCCTTAATGCTGGCTTCCTATCCTCGCAGGAGAAATGATAATGTGAGAAATAACTAGGAAGACACTGTCTGAATGTAATTAAGACACAATGTAGACATTGGATTTTGGCAGTGCTTTCTAATTAATAACTTCCTAAATGATATCCATTAACTTCATGGTTTCTGTGCTCTGTTAGGAGGGAAATGAGGCAGAGACAGAACAGATAGATCCGCGCACCAAATAGCCCCTGTTTGAGGGATTTTGTTACGCTGTAATAGGGCAATGGGCATTTTTCTCTGTCCCTGTGCTCTTATAGGGTTTCAAAATGACACACAAACAGGAGCAGCTTTACAATTTTTTCAGGGAAGTGACAAGGCTCTAATCATGCTATATTATAGTTTAAAATCTGACATGCCCACTGGGTAAAATGTTGTATACTTAATAAATTGATGCAATGGAAATAACCATATTCTTTTAAGCTTTCTTCCTGATCATTTGTAGGCTGAGAGTGTGATTCTGACACTCTGTTTGAAAAGCTTGATTGTTAATGAAAAAAGAGGGGGAAAAAACGCTTACAGTTTACCAAAACAGAGTGGTAGTAGCGAATAATCAAGATTATTAAAAATAGCTAGACTTGATGTAGATGAAAATATAACAAAAACACGTGAACCTGATTGTACAATCAAATGCTTTTGACCTTTTGCGTTTCCTTATTCTTAGAAAACCATAAAACCATGTAACTAAATTTTTATGTTTTTGTTCACAATACTGTTTCTGTTTCTGAAAATGACAACTAGCATCCTGCAGAGAGAACATCTGGGGGGGGGGAAGGTTTCGAAAATCAAAACAAATATTTTCCCCATTTACTGTTGGGTTTCTTTGGAAGTTTGTCCTTGTCAGATGTGAGGGTCCAAGGACAGAGGGTGTCATATTCATAATTCTGCTACTAGGGCTGAACGATTAATCCAATTTTAAATCGAAATCACGATTTGAAATGATGCGATTATCAAATCGCAAAGCCTGCGATTTTTTTTTAACATTCTTTAATTTTTTTACTATTTTTTTTACCATTTTTTTTTTTTTCTTGTGTGTCAGTCATCCACACCAATCAGAAGTGCTGTGCTGTGCTCCACATGTACCAATGGTTAACCAATCAGAAGTGGCCCATGATAGAAGGTGATAGACAGATTGATCCAATCACCTGCCAAGTATTTTTGAAAGGCCTGCCCTTTCAAAACAAACCATCTGAGTCAGGTTAGTAATGCTCCATCACATGTGTTACATCTATTACAGGGTGAATCTTAAACTGAAGCTTGACTTTAAAGCAACCCAACGGAAGTTTCATGTAAGTTTAGTTCTTTCACTCGTAGCTCGGGCTGCGGGGGTGCTAGAGACGGGAGCATGTTGATACGACCTTCCTAGCCGGAGATATGGCCGCATTTTACAATAAACTTACGTTGGGTCACTTAAAAACAAATATCGCAATTCGAATCGCAATCGCAATATTTGTCAGAAAAATCGCAATTAGATTTTTTCCCAAAATCGTGCAGCCCTACTCTGTACAAACTGTAAAGTCCACTGAGACAAATGTAAAATGTATGATATCGGGCTACATAAATAAACTTTGATTGATTGATATTAGAATTCACTGTAAATGTAATGGTGGGCCTACCTTTGGTCCCTTTAGGACAGGGCCTCTCCACAGTGCTCCCAGTGTGGGTCTGGGGCCAGTCGATGGCTCTCCTCCGGGTGTCCTCACAGAAGCGCCTTGGTGTCGGTGGCAGCTCAGCGACGGTGGGTTCTGCTGTACTTGAGCCACTTTTGTCCTCAAACGGGTCCCTCCCATCTCTTGGATCTGCTCCTACTACAGTGGTGTCGCCCTGCCCCTTCATGGTGGACGCGGCCGTGGTGCTGATGACGGTGGTCTTGCTTATAGATGGCGAGATGGAGAAATCTTCACTGGTTGGCACTGGAGAGAGAAAGGGTGTAGATGCTAGGGCTTGACTCATAAATGTCTTTTTACTTGAGCTGCCATCGTTTCTAGCAATGGAGTACCGTGGCTCGTTGGCACTGAGTTACTGCTGCCCATGATTTCTGGAAATAAAAAGCTTCATGCAGCTTTCACCCGTAACTCCACCTCTTTTTTGTTCCTTCACAAAAAAAAGCAAGGCAAACCTGCCAACACCAAACATCTATCTCTCTCTTGCTATTTTTAGTTTTCACAAGGCCATAAACAAGACAAGCGGTGTTGGTGGGGCATCCTTTGACAAAAGCAGTGATTTCCTTCCAACAGAGTCAGTACCTTGGGCTGATTAAATGTCAACAATGAAGATAAAGCCTGTCTGCATTTTACTTTTTTCTGTCTAGTTTATCTCTATCACTTTAATAAAGCTGCCGTGCTGAAGGAGAACTGCAGTGCTCCAGGCAAAAACATACATCAGCAATAATGTGATTCCACTATATCCAATCCACGCCCACCCTGCGAAGCAAATCTATATGTGAATGTGCACATGCTAGTGTGCAAGTGTGCTTGTGTTTGCTCCATTGCTCAGGTGTGTTTCTGCTTAAGACCACTGCGTCCGCAACAGATGTATAGCCACTGCAAAGAGCCTGGAGATAACTAGGAAATGAGAGCAGGAATAGGAAATCTATCAATTGTATACAGTATGAATAGCCAATAAAAATAAAACATGATGAATGTTTATATGTATCTGGGTATGTGTGTCTATATGGATATGGTAGTCTCCTATATTAATCATTATACGTTTTCAGCCACAACCACCTGATTGTATTTAGAGATAAAAGCAGCTCCTCACAATGAGGTCTGACTTTGTGAAAGGCCCTAAAGTGTTGTCTTCACGTTCCCTTGGTGCTTCTAGGAAAATGCAATATCATGCTATCTGACACTCCATCATCAGACAAATATCTCCATTTCCTGAGAGAGAGCGGTGACAAAGCCCACATTTCACGTTTCACACTAATCAGCCAGTCAGGGGAATCTTTGCTTTTTCATTTCAGTGAAATATCTGAGTTTATTACAAAGCTGATATTTGGCGATGTAGTCAGGAGGCCACGGCAGGGAGGTAGCAGTATTTCTGTGATGCTCACTGTAGGAAGATAAGCTGCAAACCTCCCTGCGGTGCCGGCTGAGTTGTGACATTTCACTCAATGACCTTTACTCCTATCAGGAGCTCTGGCTAATTACCTTACACTCAGTCATTGTGTGTCTGTTATCCACCCGTTCACAGCGCAGCACGGCAGCAAAAGTAACAGCTGACATGTGCGGTTAACTTGGGCAGACTGTCATGAAGTGTTCGGTTAGCCCCCACAGGTTTGAAGGTATCACAATTACTCCCAGGAAACAAGGGAAATTAAGAAACTGGACCGCTGACAATTAGAAATGTCTTGTTATATCTCTTAGTGGACAGGATCACCATTGCCTTTTATTTAGAAGTAATATCAGATAAAAGATTTAATACTTTATTTATATTTTAACATAAATTAGTTGAAAGGAATTTGCCATATAGAAGTACGCTAAAACACTTTTTTCCCTTAACATAACTTGCTATTTAAAAAAGAAAATGTTTCACATATATTATGTATACCCTTTGAAGCTTTTTTATTGACTCAGGAAAAGAGAGATGATTCATGGGCTGACTCTTTTGATTCAATATTCAGGTATAATGCAATACAAGGGCAAGTGTAATTAGGTTTGAGAATATTAAACCTCTCCATACCTGAGCAAACTTCTGCTTCCCACAGGCTGATATGAGCCCTAATATGCATCTGCCTGAAACAACTTTTTTGCGTCAACTGATTAACCTGCTCCTGAAACCATATTGCTCCAACTCCTGAGTCCAAAGCCCTCTGCCACCCACACACACTTGATCACACATTATCATACAGCACAGAGACATGTTCTGTTCAGTGTTTCTTTGTCATTTCTGAAAAAGCTTTTTAATAGCTGTAATTATCATCAGCAATTCAAACAATTCAGAGAAGCTGCAAAAACTTGGATTATTACGTACAATGTAAAGAAAGATATGTGTCCACATCTACATGTTAGTGCTGCAACAAATAACTTTTATCATTTTCAATTAATCCGACCATTATTTTCCTTATAGACTGTGTATAATACAAAGAAAACCTGGCTTTGTTATTTCACTATTTTCTGATATATAAGAGACCAAACAATGAATGTATTATCTGAGATATTTAGCAGAGTAATCTAACATTTATATAATTTTGCAGTCCTAATTCACTTTATCTAAAGAAGATTGTATTTATAAAAAAAAAAAATCATATTTAAACTATTGTTTAGTCATTTCATTCTACTAAACATTAAGTTGTTTTCTAATTTTTCACTGTCAGTCAGATTCATGAATTCATATCGCTTTAATAATAAGGGGTTTTAAGATGGCCACCGAATCATTATTTTTTTTTAATCAAAGACAAGATACAATCTTTGTTGATATTTACAGTCTAGGGTAATCAGAGAGTAATTATGAAGGACATTGAGAATATCACATAAAAAAACATACTCATTTAATATTACATCAAGCAATGTGCTTGTCAGATGTTGAATCATTTGCGGGTTTATTTTGATGTCTCTGCAGCATACGTGCTACAATTTTCTTTTGATTGTGGAGAGCACATTCCCCTCCAGTAAGAGTGCCGTGTCCTCTGATAGCACTCAACCAAGAGAGGGCTGCACCAATTAGCTGCCATTTCTCTCAAGAGGCAGTGAAGTCACTCTTTATGGGCAATCTGACACCAGAGGCATACTGTCGCCATATGCTGAATAATACCTCTTGTAAATAATAGAAGAGTTGGAGATTGAAGATTTGACAAATGGCTGTCACCAAAGTCTAAACCAGAGTGTGTAAAATTAAACAGAGCTTAAAAAAATTAAAACCATTATGCAAGATCATCAATCAAGATATCAGAGATGAAGTAGAATTAGATTCATTACTTTATAGGCCCCCAGAGTAATATAAGTATCTGCGTGAGAGTGAGATGACAAAACAATATTAAACCAGAATCAGATGATCAGAGATGTAGATATTATATTTTGCCTTGCTTGTGCGGCTTACTCTGCAACACTAAAATAGGCTTTCCCTATTTAAAATTACACATACAGTAAAAAGCAGTTAGAATTACAAACGGCAGAATAAATGCATCATAAGCTGCCTAATACCGGCTATTACGGAAGAGCAATGACAAGTCCCAACCAAATCAAGCGGTTTTTAATTGGTTTAACATTTTTAAGATGAATCACATACAAGGCTAATCCACCAAGTACAATGACAAATAGACACTTATAGTTGTAAGGAAAAATCAAATAGGCAGTGCTCAGTCAAAAGAATATCTCTACAGCAGGGTTTGTTTGCACTGAAGAAAAGGCTGAAAGCGATAAATGTGTGCCGCAGTCCTCTTTTCTTGCCCTTGAAAGTTAGCTTTCGTCAAAGCGAGAAGCACCTTATTCAGCTGCATACTTTCTAACCCATATGAAAAGGTGACCAAAATGAAAACGAAAACGTGGTGAATGCACCGTGAACTTGAAATTCAAGAACAAGAATAAGAAAAGGTAGGCATACAGCACGACAAATGTAAGGGTGTAGCCAGCTGCTAGTTAGCTTAGCACATGGACTGGACAACAGAGAGGCAAGATAGCCTGGCTCTGTCCAAAGATAATACAAGTCATTAAGCTCATTTAAGCACCTTTAAAGCTCACACACTTAAATTGTAAGAGTAAAAATGTGATGTTTCCCTTTAAAGGGTTATCATACACCAAATAACCATGATGTTGTGCTAACAAAAACAATCACTTCCAGGTAGCCAGGTATTTCTGTTGTAGTTTGAAACGTAACTTTAACATTTAAAGATATTTAGTTAAACATTGTGGTCCGATCTTTCTGACGTTCCTGCCATTGTTATTGTATGTGCAATGCAGACTTGCTAGCCTATGGAATGAACATATATCCCAAAATGGCCTAGACTTTTGCTTTACCCAAACCAATAGGGTGTTGCCACGCTGTCAGTCCTAATATACCACAATGAGTAAGACATGTGTGCCTCCATGTGTGTGGGGCTTCATATATCTGTATTCATTGTGCATTAAAGCTTGACTCAGTAACAAGACCATCTCAGAGCAGAGGATCCGTGTGCGAGCTACAGTTGGTCTTTTTTGTGTCTTTACCTAGAGCCAGTGTTGGTAATTAATGACAGAGAAACAGGTCCCTGAAGACATGAATTTTACATTAGGCTGTTAAATGCGCTCATGCTGTTCTGCTTCATCCAAACCTACGTGACAGGAGCATACGGCTTGGCATGGACGGTGAAGGACCACAATGCAATTCAGCTGTAGTTTCCTAACCAATGCTGTGGAATATGTCTTGATTTCTGCTTAATGGAAAAACTCAAGGCATCGATAAATTGTTTCAGGGCCTCACTGCTTTTTTGACACTTGTTCTTTAAAGAGCACTAGACGGAAAAAGCTCTGCCGGACATATCCTGTGTCTGTGCAGGGTAATTTATGATGCCTGAAACTGAGTACTGGGGAGCAGCCGAAACAGAGCAGTCACAACTAGATGGTCTGAGTCAGACGAAGGCTCACAATAAAGACCCATGCATGCAGACAGAAAGATATATGTGCAGACAGAAATACACTCGGAGCAAAAACATTTCAAACATCACTGTCGTCTACACATATAATGTCGACTTAAACAATTTTCTGCCATAATCTTGTCGGGGTTGATACAGACTGAGAATAACAAGTAGAGCTATTGCAAATCTCCTGACTCCCTTACCTGAGCCTTTATTCCTGTAACCGAACATCATGCTTCAGAGGTGGAACACAGGCTTAGTGCATGAGACATCTATAAATGTCCTCTGTCTTGACGGCCCACTCGGAAGCGTCGCACAGGGATATACCAAAGTGCATCAAGATGCTCAGCTGGGTTTAGTCACAAAATGGCTGAGCAAAAAAAAACAAAAAAACACACCAGCTTTGTAATGATAGATATCTATCATGTGGCATCCAGGATATGAAATAGTACTTTTGCTTGACATTTCAATTCAGCTCTGAGCCCACTTGTGCTCACTGCTTCCAGATTAAGCTGAGTGGCTAAGCCTTTCGGACAAAGCCATTCATTTTATGCCTCTCGTCTTTAAGGCTTCCGATCAATGCTACCTCAAATACAAATTAATTTTCTCCTCTCTCTCCTTGTTAGTTTGAAATGCTCTCGGCAATTGCCAACTCCCTTGATTGGTTTTTCTGAATTCATTGGACTGAAATCAGTTAATGCTTTTGCACATCACAGAGAATACATTAACGGTGTCCCTTTCAGTTTTGTAACGGCGGCGCTTTGGTGTGCTTTCTATTGGCATGCACCTCATTCAGAAAGACCTCTGAGAAGGTGGACTCTCTAAGTATTGATCATTGCTGTTTTGTGTTCACAATGAATTAACAGAGGTTAGACATTTTCTTTAAATGCGTGTGAATTGTCTGCAACAATAAGCTGAAAGATCAATACGGGTAAAGATCCTAGCTAATCAATTCAACCAGGGCCAGAATTAAGAAACCCAAAGTGTTACAAACACTCTACACAAGGTAAAGAAAGATTCCGCCAAGTTCAACTATTTTCTGCTTTGATCACTTTTCTCAAACTCTCTTAATAGAAACCCCTAACCCTGCCAGCACTTCAGCACCCCTCTAGGATGAGCAATACAGTGAAGGTTGATGCTTCTGACAGAAAAGGACACTGACGCTCGTTGTGTTGCATGAGTTCTACAAAGGAGAGAAATGCAGCGGGTTTGGTGTTCGAAGTAACTTCTCTCTGTGGTCGATGAATCTTAATGGGCACAATTAATTTTCTTTACGCCTCGAGGGCCCCTCAGTTTCAGAGAGAGAGACATTATTTCAGCACCATTAGATTACTCTGCAGAATAGGTTGTTTAATTCAACACCATATCATGGGCAGCAATAAATCTTAATAGCTACACAGTAAAGAAGTTAAAGGTGTAGATCCAGACAAAAAGAAGAAGCTAATAAACAAGAACCAATTATTTTCAAGTGCCATTCAAAAAAGTGTGGCGTGCTGCCGTTGGCCTTGGCGCCATGAGATGCCCGCTCTCCTTCTTGAGCTCACAACATTTAAAAATGTTCCGCACTTAATGATGCACAGTGACAAGTTGTGCTGCAAGGATGCATTTCTGATTGGATCCCAATAACAAAACAGCGAAAGGATACGGGTATTTAGAATAATGAGGGAAATCAACTATCAACGATGTTCTGTTGGGTTCCTTCATTAAACGTGCTGTTCATGAAGCAAGTGGCAACTCTGCGCCTATGTGGCATTTATGTTTACCGAGGCATTACAGTAGCTGAGAGAGCACATTAAACCCTTCATTGAAAATACTCTGTGATGGCCACTTTCCTCCTCTCCCTGAGCCTCTTTTGAGACAAGGAGGGTAATTATGATAATTCACTTGTTAATTACATTTACATACATCAGGACGTGAACAGTTGAGCAGGCAGTTTGCATGCATGGAGAACTCATTAAACTTTGAGTATTTTCATATCTCCTCCAACATACTCTAAATGGAGGCTAGGGTTGTTCAGCAGAACAGGCGTAAAGTTGTACCCCCTCCACCCCCACCTCGTGGGTGTCGAGTTATCATGCTGGGGAGATTCCAGGGAACGGCAGGAATACAAACAGACTTGTTGACAAGAGGCCAAAGTTCAGGAGCACACAGCCGCCATTGAGATATCAACGCTAACCCCCCCTTCGGGAGCTCAGGTCAGGACTCAAATTTCCCCCCGGCAACCCCTCCCGAATATCCAGAAGTTAAAATCATAATTTAATCCAGACCAGTGCTCAGGGGCAACATGAGCTTCTAGCGTAACGAGACTTCGGGTCAAGATCCTGATTTCCCCATTTCACACAGGAGACATGGCCCGGCTCTATGGGATAAGGCGGCTGCTGTCAGGCAATTAGGCCCATTACCATCTTAATGCAAGGTCTCTGTCTGATGACACATATGTCACCTCTCAGCACTTCACAGATTAATTTAAGCTCTCTAACCGCCTGACAAGATTCTTCACTGTAATTGATCTCTCTTTTTACAGCTACTCTTGTGCGCTCTTGTGATTCACCATGTGGTACACAACGCACACACACATCGGCCTGGTACTTTAAAATATCATGCTACAATAGGATGGCTATTATCTCCTAATCTATTGTAAAAAAAAAAAAGAAAAGAAAAAAAAGGCTGTGAAGTTGATGAAGTAGCCATGGCAACACAATTTAAAATCCCAAGGCAATGGGAAGAGGATGACCTTGGTCAGACTGTGAACAATACTTCACAAATGTATTCCCGGTATTTCATATTTATATTCACAATGGTTTCGGGTAAAGCCTGAGATTAAAGAATTTGATAAGGTCCAAGCTTCAGCTGGTGAGAGTGCCTCAGCTTGCCTCATGGTAATAAAGAAACGGGTTTCTGAAGAGGCGCAACCCTTCTGGGAGCTATCCCTCATTCCAAGGTGAATTTGTAATTTCTGTCTGCAAATGAGCCCTTTCCCCAAGACTAACACAACCCTTTTTTCTTTATCACACCTGAATTGCATCCAAAATTAAAAGGCAGCCATCTGTGATATGACTAGCTGTAACCAAACAATAGACAAAAGAGAATAATTAAACAGAAAAATGGAGCAGCTCTCACTTTCAGCAGGATCCGGAGGCCCGAAGTCCAAGTCGTAGCGCAAGATGTAAAAGTTATTCCACACGTATAGCTGGTTGTCCCTGGGGTTGTAATCCACAGCAGTGATATACTGGTACTGGTTGGGGAAGAGGATGTCGATGTACTCGCCCTGGCTTATCTTGGTGTTGTAGATGTAATCAATTTGGCTCTTGCTGGCCTCGCTCTCGTTCTCTTCGTAGGTCGAGCGGACCACATGCAGCACGCCGCACACCATGAAGGCGTTGGAGGCCGAGCGCTTGTCGTACGCCGTGTCCCATGTGGCCTCGAAGCGGAGAGTGTACGGGTTCAGCTGGCTCACCACAATGCGCCCATTGTTCTGTTCTGTGGCGTAGATTACCCACAAGCCCCTCTCGTCTACTGCCAGGTCAATGTCCGTCTTGCCACCCCAGCGGTAAGGCGAGGTGTCGTGATAGTTGGCATTGTTAACGATAGCCTCGCCACTTTTGATGCGTGTACGCAGGTCAAACTTGACAATGTTGCGAGTGCGTTCTTTGTTAAAGAAGATGGCGCCATCGTAGGCCACAAAGCCTGTCCCATCAACACGGTGCGGCAGTTTATACGTGGTTGTCTGGCGACCATTTTTGAAGTCTTCCAGAGAGACGTACTCGATGAGCGTGTCAGTGCGGTATGGCGTCCAGGGCATGAAGAAGACTTTATCACCGGCCTGCAGAGGGTCTCTGCACCATGAGCCCGCTTGCTGCTCTGCCTCAAACAGGAAGGTGGCGTCTCCTATGCCTTTCAGAGTCCCGGGACAAATGAAAACTAGTGACAGAGAAGAGAGTAAAACAAAATACAGTAAGGAAAAAGTATTTCAGATAAATGAAACACATTTGACACGCATCATTCTTGCTGCTGTACAACTCAAGTGCAGGATAAGAAAGATCAGGGGTTGTGAATTTGGAGGAATGTTTTAACAAGTGCTTTTGTGCTACTGCTAATGAATAGGGAAAAAAGAAAATAAATGAATGTGTGCGTTAACGTGAACTTGCATCTCAAGCGTCTGCTGCTACATCCTGACAGGGACAAAACAACATAAAATGGGAACAAAAAGGGTAAAAATCCTGCAAATGAAAGACATGGGAAAGGGGAGGAGTAGAGTTCACACTTCCCTTTTTTTGAATACCAGTCTGTCTCTGACGTCCAATGCACATGAACAGCTGGGTATATGGACACACTACACATGCATACTAACATGACTGGGGTCATAAACCAAAATGAAAAGGGAACATACTTCACATCTTGTGATAAGAGTGAACAAAAGGTTGTCAATGGTGGTGGCGGCAGCAAAGCAGAGGTCAAATGAAAGTGGAGTGTTGGGAAATAGATCGAACAACAGTGGTAAAGGATTTTCACTACTTCTGAGGCAAAAGACAGGAGTAATCACTGATGGGTGAGGGAGGCCATGGCAAGGATACAGTTTAGACGATTTTAAATGAATTGGTTCTGGATAAAAAGGAACGGAGTGAATTCTTGTTTTCCTTTCACATTTTTTTTGTATTCTTTGCCAATCTCACTCAGCCATCATTGCTATTTCACATCACGTGCTATGGGTGCAGCAGAAGTTGGGCCAAGCAGGACTATGCCAAATAAGAATATATAACACAATTACTCATTCTTCAAGGGTTCACACAGTGCTAGGCAAGAGTCCCTGGAACAAATCAACACCCAACAGTTGGCGTTTTCTTTCACATTGCGCGAAAAGAATCTACTTTCCATGACCGTGGATGTCATATGAAATTCTGTTTGGAAATGAATTTGTACTCCATGGGTGCAACAAATCCTCCTATGGGTTTAGCATTTGACAGTAGAGGCAATCAGGAGGGGGAGGAGACGTGAGGGGAGCTGTACTCAACACCACAGAACAAGGAGTCAGAGGGGGAAGGGGGGGACCAGACCACTCATTTACCTTTTTGCTCCACTTCTATTTCAGGCATTGGAAAAGAAAGCAAAAAAAGAGTGCAAAAGGGAGAGAAAGGTTATCACGAGTCAACTACCAGGTACAAAGAGAAGAATTAGCTGGAGGATATGACCATGAGATGAACTGCAGGGCTGTTTTGGGAAAAAGAACTAGCGGAAAAAAAGAGTTTGTTAGTGAAACAGCCTCTCATCCTAGGATATAAAAACAGACAAGTTATGGCTGGAGACAAGCTATGTGCAATGATTTCCAGCGCATTAAACTTCTCATTCCTACTGTCTTTAACTGCCAACAAAATACTGCATTGGCCGATGTTAAAGCAGAACAAATTCCTTTAAAGATGCTTCTCCTAAGAGGTCATATTTAGATGGATAACATTCTTAGTCAAACATCACAGGAGTTATCATTGGCAACGATTGACTGAGGGTGGAATTTGTTCAAACTTTATAAACATAAATTAAAACTCGATTCCATATTTGCTCGCCCACACGCGTAACACATGACACGGTGCTAATGTTACAGACCAAACTCTTAAATGAGCCAAGGAGACAGCACATGAGATGACTGATGAGCAGTCGGCCTAATATGGAGTTTATTTACTGGACTGTTGAAGCTGCTGGTAGAGGAGGAAAGGCTGGAGACAATATAGTGTGAAAGATTAGAAGTAAAAAAAAAAGAGAGCACAGAGGTTAGTCGGGGGGGGGTGGGGGAGGGGGGGGAATGAGACAGGAGGTGAAAGGGAGGTCTGTTTGAAAGAAGAGAAAAAGAGGTGAATATTTCGGGAAATGTTTACAATTCATAAACTTAACTACTAAGTACTTTCACAGGCAGGAGTGACGCCTAAAGCTGCTTTTATAAACTACTCTAAAACACCCTTTTAAAAGGTAGATTAACTCAAATCAGATACCATAGACAGAGTTTATAATAGTGTTGGATTTAAATAACTCTGCAGTGCATTTAATTATACCATGTTCACAGCGAAACACTTAAGCTGATCAATGACCGAGTACAGGAATTTGGTTACATTTGTAGGATTATTGTCACTTATGCGGTTTCACTTTAGTGGTTTCTGGAGTATGTTTCCACAAGACATTAAGGAACACAAAGTACTAATGTAAGACCTTTAATGTAGCCATTTCTTTGAATAGCCTCCTTTTTCTATTTCAGCTAAAGACACAAAAAAGGCAGTGTTATTAAAGCAATTTCAAATGTGAATTCACCAGATTTCTTCAGTTCCCCCTTATGGTAACTCATCATGCAGATAGTTTTGGTTGTATTTGCTCAGGTTTGGAAATACCTGCCACTCAGGAGTTGGATGTAATTTAGTTTGAGGAGCTCACAGCACTACTGGTACTATTTCTATTCACGATGTAAGTAGAAAGTTGTTTAATCAAAAGTTTTTTATGGATTAACTGCAAAAGAGAATGTTTCTGAAATTATAATTTTTTGCTGTTGACATGTTTTGAAATCTAGGTTTTAATAAATGTAAAACTCAAAACCACAAATTTCATTTACTTTTGAGATGGAAGCAGAAATCTCACACATGGGAATGGGGTTTGTATTCAATCCTAATTCAGTATCCTGAATTATTTCAAATGAAATAAGGTTTAACTTTACCACCTCTAATTAAACTTCTGTACAACTAAAATGTCCATTAATATATGTTACCATTTACACTTTAGTACTACCGTTTTAGTGGTATTAATAAGGTTCAAAACCTTAAAAAACTACCTGAAAAGACATGTTCAATATGTAGAACTATAATATAATAATAACAGTCAGATCCTATTACTTTTACACCTGGTTTTTTATGAGCTGCTTGGCCTAAAAAACAGAGATCCCTTCACAGAACTCAGGGACTTAAATTATTTATTTGATATGTTTAGAAGTTGGTCTTGTTGAACTAAAAAAAAAACATCTGGTCTAGTTGCGATTCTCCATCACAAACAGACTTGAGTTCAAACACTGGCTTGCAGATAGCACATTTACCAGACAACAAACAGAAGTTTCAGATAAGGTATAACAAAATTAACAACAATTAACATAAATAACAAAAGGGTCCAATAAGGGAGTCTTTAGCCCTTGAGCTTAACGAATCTGGGTGCTTTGCCAACCGGGAACCAGATTCAAAAAGGAAGCAGCTATCAAAGCCTGAAGACAGAAATGTCAGAACCTGCCAATTTTAAACCAAAACCATCTGCAAGGCTGAATTCCACTGGAGATAATTGAAGAAGATATATTTTGTTTGTAATTTGGGGGAACTGATCCTTTAAATGACAGCAATGCTTCAATACATCAACTTAATTCATCATTGTTAATGCCAGTCGTCCGGTTGAAGTATCATCTGTAAAACAAACATTGTCTTCCAACCATAGAAACTGTAGTTACAGCACATTTGTCTAGTCTACAGACACTTTAAACACACAATAAGAGTTCAGTATGAGATTTGGATGGCGATACTTACTATAGGGAACACACTCATACTGGACCTCTAAGTACTTGTAGGTGCCAGGGCATGGATCAGGAAAGACATCAGAGCCAGTGACAACCACACACTGCGTACGGTTGTTGCACCTAGAAAAAGAAAAGATTGACCAGAGATTTCATCATGACTACCCACAGCAAGAGTACTCCGCAATGACAACATTAATAACGCAGAGCGGGGAAAAAGTTCAATGTTACAGCTACAAAGATATTGATGAAATCCCAGCCAGGACTGTCACATATGCATTCTAGATTAAACCTTGGCAAACTGAGAGAGGAATGAAAGCATTAAAAAGGAGTGTAAATGGATGTGATAATGAATAAAAGAGTGAGATAGCAGCAGCTAAGGCATGTTAGGAATTAGCAATGGCATTTCCTTTAACAGCATCTTCATATCGCTATTGAAAGGGAAGACATTCATTAAACACACGGGACAGGTGGCGATGACATGTGAGTGGACTGGAATGGTGGCCTCTGGTGAAACGGTGCCCCTCCTTTGCATGTGTGCAACAAACTCGACTTGAATGTGTCCTTTCTATGGAGAGGTTATTTGTCCTCCAGTATGAAATAATGAACCTCCGTAAATCAACACAGTTGTGTGAATTGCAATAGTGTGAGTGTTTGTGTAGGTGTGTGAGTGTTTGTGTGCATATGTTTCTGAGTGCTTTGAAAGCTCAAGTAAAGACGGAGAGGGGGAAAGAAGAACAGCAGAGGACTGAGTTTGTGTAAATACTGTATAGGGTGAAACTGGCTCCACTTCAATCAAGTTCTCTTGAGGCCGAGGGATTGAGAATATTGTCAGCAGTAACAGAGGCAAACAAGAAGAAATTGGCACCAAAGTAGGACATTCAACAATTTGCAAGCCTGAGATAAATATTTCAGAAGGTCAGTAGCAGTCATGCAAGCTGGACATACATTTCAACATTGAGCATGACTTTCAAAGAATCATTAGTAATTCAAGAGGCTTTTTGTTGCTGCAAAATGGGTTTGTGCAGCACAACATGCTCATAGGGCCTTGACTCTGCAATGTCAGCTATGCAGGATGTTAAACTCAAGAATAAAAAGGTAAAAGTATGTACATTAAGCAGAAAAATACTTTGCTTTCAGGCTGCACAGCTATGTATTTTCATTACAAAAGCCTTTGCCTTGAAACTAATGGATTATTAAACATTATATATGAATAAAAAGGCGCAAAGGCCATTATGAAGTTAAGAAATAGCATCATCTCAAACATTACTGACAGCGCCGTGCCGGTTGCACTTAACAGTTTCACTCTCATGGCTTCACTGCAGTGAAAGCTGCTGAAAGGAACAAAGGTCACTGCGTGAAAATGTGATGTGACTGAAGATAGATACAATGAGTTCATCGATTTAATGTAGGTGTTTAAAAGTCTGACTGACACTAGCTACGAATGGTGCAAGCTACACAGGTAACTTTGAGATACTTTAGTTAAGATTAAACATGGAAAGTATAGTTTTAACTAATTTAATGTAATACATTCTTACATATAATAACTATGAAATGGATATATAATAATATTTGATCCACTTCCACCAGCTACACTATTGAATTGTGGCTTGCATGTTGATGCATCGGTGATAATAAGGCAACATTCAAATGTGTATAGTAATATAGTGCTTGAAAGGAGCCATTAATAGTTTAAATATGAAATGTTTAATACTTAAGTGATGTTACTTACAGTAGGTAACACTTTTAATGCAGGGTTTTAACCTGTAATGGAGTATTTTTTGTAATTGTTCTGCTACTTTCAAAACTCACATTAACATATTTGACCATGCTAATGTTCCTCGGTTAAACAATGTTCTGAAAGCCGTAAAGCTGTGCAAACTGCAAGGAGACGGATCATTCTCTGTGAGTGTGTGACTACCAGTGCCTCTTTTCAGTTTATTTTCATTTATATAAAAAAGTATTGATTTCTCAAGGTTAGTAAATTATCTAATACTTCTTCCACCACAGCACATTTTTTAACATTGTGAGAAACCGCAATGGAGTTTTTTTGTGGTGCAATTTTTAGATCCTCTGGAGAAAAGGGAGGTGTTGTTGCTAAGCATTTAGACACGCTTCCTCAGTTTTAAACTGCCGCTGAAATGGCTGCATGTACGGTAATCTCTATTGCACTGAGCTCATGAAGTGTTTGAATCTTCTTTCTTTCAATCTACAAGCTGCTCCTCTGACAAGCGAAAACATGTATTATGTTGGTCTCACTGGGTCAGAGGATATATGGCCATTGGATGAGGTAATGTTAGTCAGCAAAGCAGCTTTATTTAGATGATCTATCATGTATTGTGTTGCTATGTGGGTGTTCTTGAACCTACACTAGTAAAAAAACAGGGTGGAGGCAACAATGTCGACATAAGAAAAAAAGAAAAAGAGAGTTCGGATCACCTCGAATTTACCAGACATCTTTGATGCAACGATCACCTGAATATCAAACAGGCCAGAGGTTTCCATCAGTGCATTTTATACATTGTTCATCCAGTCACTGTTTTTCTGTCTCCAACCAAACGTTTTCCAGCTTTAAGAAAACACTTTCATGTAGATGTTGAAGAAAATCAAGCCATTTCAATCCTGTCAAGTCGCTTTTGTTGTGAAAAACGGTTTGCTGATGAATACTTTTCTCGTAATTTCAAAGCAACAAACTGCCATTCTGTGCAACAGACTTCCCACTGTGTCTATCTTCCCAGTGTTGTTTAATATGTTTGTTTATCTGTCTCTGGTGCTATTGCCTTTTGCTAATCTTCCCCAAAAAGGCAGAGAGCTGTCTTAATGTTTTGCCATTTAAACATCCTCGTTCTTTTAGTTTGCTGCAGACTGAAAGAGGACTGATAAGGGGTCTCCCAAAGCTTTGTGTCTGCTTTAACATGCCCGGTTATCACATCAACCTTAATCATGGTCAGGAGTCCATTTCCTCTGATCTGAAGCATTAGAATCATTCTGGCTTGTGGTGCAGAGTCTTCTCAAAGCCTTTGCTCACACACTGCCTCCAGGGAAACTTCGATGGAGATAAGTTTGGAGTTCAGCAGGCGAGAGTCTACAGATGTGGTGCAGAATGTAGCAGGTTGCACTCAAACCAAGGGGCATGGACACTGTAAGAGAAGAATGCTGGGACTCAGCTGTAGATTTAAAAAAGACTATTCTGTAGTGCTGCACCTCTGGGAGTATGAGTATTCAGAGGTGAATGAAGGAAAAAAACCCAGAGGAGTAAGATGGTGGGCGAAGCTAGCCTAAGGGAGGGGCACTGTAGGACAGAGCAGTGCCTTAGAAGATGAACAGTGCTGGTTACTATTTATGAATAGTTCATCCAGTGCCCTTTAAAAATACACACACCTCTAGGGGTAGGCAGCAGTGGAGTTAAAGTGTTGCTGCGCTGTCGTTTGACGGGAAAACAGCCTCTGTGAGAGGGTAGCCGGGATAAAAGGCATGATGATGGGCACTGCTCACTACCTGAGGCAGAGCCACTTCAATGCAGTACAAGTGTTTGAACAAAGCAAGGCTAGTGTTCCAGATAGGGAATTAAGAGGGTGTTGATGTGACTCGCAGTCTTTCTGAGCTACACTGATTATGACTCAAACAGCAGCAACAACACGCAGCTGGTGTGAAGAGCTCTGCCGCATGGATGTCCATTCTCGACTGTCAGGAATTAATCTGCGCTCCAGTTTTCTGAATTTAAAAATACCACCTACATAATCTAGTCAATGAGGGAATAAAGGAAAAACATTACCAAAAAAAAAGGTGTGAAATGTGGATTTATTGTCCGGTATTTATGTGCGTGCAAAGGAAGGGTGAGAATTTAAGCGTTTCTTTTGTGTGTAGAAACGTTAGTCGCAGAAGGAAAGAGAACGAAAAGAAGTTCATATGTTGCCAGCTCCTGGTTTTGTTTGTGAAATAAGATCCCTCCTCTGCCCAGCGTTTTACCTTTGTGATATAATCTTGTAGGCATCGGGGAGGTAGCAGTTGACGTTCTCCATCTGGAATGGGTCAGCGTCACAGATCTTGTCGTCGGTTCGGCCGTAATTGGCCGTCTCGATCATAATGACATCACTCCCCGGGCAGCGGAGATCGATTGCATATCCTTCACATGAGAGCTCCCTCCTGACCAGCCCGAAAGGCAAGGCAGCACGGCTGAACCCTGACAGAGACACAAAGACAGAGAGGAAACTTTAGGCAAATAATAAAAAACTAATGGGTTGAAAGGATCACTGCTTCAATACAATAAGACCACACATCATGCAGTTAAATCCCCTGGCATAAAATAAATAGGCAACAGCAGTCCAATGTTTACCACAGTTTTAAACAGACGGGCCATTACACGCGATACAGGAATGGAGAAAGACGAAACAATTCATCTCTCCATCTCTCTGTGGTCTTAGATGTTGGCTAAGGCATCAGATCTGTGTCACTGGAGACCAATGGTAACCTCATAAATTCTTGTGCAAACACAAAGGCTACAGAGCATCAGGAAGGCCTCCACCTAGAGAACATCCACCACGGAGCCAAACCTAGCTGGACGGGGAATAGTTTGTTTTACAGTCCTACAAGCCCGCTGATTTGTTTCTTTTTTGCTTTCCTGGCTCTCTCAAGAAAAGATAGAGAAAAAAAAGGCAGAATCCCGGCAGAATGGAGTGTAATACAATCCATTTTACAGTGTCGGGGATCGAAGAGTCTGGAGTCCACACAGTAGGAAAAATCTATACGTGGAACACAACACAGCAGATGGGAGCGCAGCCAAATAGCTATACTTTGGGGGGAAATTAACTATTCAACTCAAATATGTCCTCTTTTTAGAAAATAACAATGAAATAGGTTACTCCTCTGTATGTCATGTCACAAATATGGTAGAACTACAGATATGCAGATTTCCAAAGGAAGAGAAAAGCAAGGAAAAAGCTGAAGAAAGAAAGAAATCCATTATCTGAGGTTAAAATGATCCAGAGTAAAAATGAATGTAAGTGTCTGCAATTCTGACAAAACAATTAGGTAAAATCTAAGTTGAACATGCAAATGTGTTCCATTTAAGAAGTGCAAGCAGAGCGCTACATGAACTGTCAATAATCGCTGTTGTTTGCAGCAATAGCGGGTCCCCGAGGGGGCAGCTACCATTTGTATTTTCTGCACTGCTCTCTCCTAATTAGCCTTCCTTTCAGCCTGTTGCCTTTTCCATTCTCCCATTCGCTCCCGAGCATTGTCATGTAGCAACACTTACCACCTTGGGTTCACTTTGCCCCCTCACTCTAATTATCCTCATGCTTCTGACAGTCAGGGCTTGACGCAATTAGCATTGTTTGAACTGCTTAGAGTTGAAGTGTTTCTGGCTTGAAATTCCTACCCTGAAACCCCCGACCCACATTTCTGCTATAGTCATTTCAGCCTGCTGTCCATGGCTCACTTATAATGATATTCTATGTCCGCCTGCAGATTTCACACTAGCAAATAGACATCTGTGAAACATTGTTCAAAATATAATGTTGGAGTCATCCCATATTAGGGAAAAACTTCTGCACGCACTAGCAGTGGTAGCCCTATAACAAAATATGAAACTAATGGTATAAATTGTCTGGCATTCAGCCACTAGACATTTCATTATAGTGCCATGATCTGTCTAATGGCCAGTAGATTCTGCTTAGCTGGACTGTTTATCACCTCATTAGGAGACGTCAGTGTAGCCGAACCATAAGTGGAGGGCTGTGGGGTCACTCCATCTATTCCAATAGCCACTACAATTACCCAAACCTTTCAGAAAACCTGTCCAGAATGGTGGATGATAAAACACAGAGTGAAATCGCCGGCTTTACTGTGAAAACTAATGATCACCCCGCCTGCTATTCCTCATGGAAGGAGTGACGGGTTTATCACGGCAGCTACAGACAGCACACAGAAAGAATGCATTTCATGGGGTTTTAAAATTCTGAGCGGAGCGAGAGAGACCGTCTTTCGGCTAAAACACTCCTCACACGTGTACAAGCCATCTGCCTTCGTAACCTCCTTTTTCTGGCTGTCCACTGGCAACTCTGCCCATCTATCAGACCACTAAGGCATGATAGCATGCTGCTGTCAACAGAGGCCAAGCGATTGATTGGGCTTGTGCCCTGCCGGCCGCCTCCTCCCTTGCCTGTATAGATCGCTCTGGTCATAGGCTAACACTGCATCAATTAGGGGGAGTATCAAGACTGTACTGGCGGCCTAAAGAACAAATAGCTTCTTCTCTAAACTGCGGATGGTCTCTGCCTCATTAATGACTGTCTTTTCCGCTTGTAATTGGGCAAGTAATGACAAATCTGTCTAAATACTTTAAATATATATAAAAGAAAATGTTTCGCTCTGTAGGACGAGATCCGAATTCGAGGGAATATTCTTTAAGTGGGCTTAACTGTATGTTGCTTAAGATCATAGGCTTTAAGCACAGCTAAGTAAGTGAAGCCTTGGTAAAACAAAGGTTTCTGGATGTAGGTATTTTTTGTCTTGATTTTCATTGTTTAGTCAAGTTTTGTGAGATTTTGGAAAGGCGAGGAAGATTGTTTGTGTGCGCAAATGTCAATGTCTTAGGGAGGTATGAAAAGCTTTTCATCTTGCGTTCTGTGCTTTGTTTGAATGCTAAACTTTGCAGCAGTTGAAGACTGCGACAGAAGGGCAGCAGCTGCAGGGAAAACGGTGGCAAGGAAACTGCAGGACAAAAATCCATGACATGGTCCCGGGTTGTGTGCAAAAAAGAAGAAGAAAGAGAACAGCCTGCTCTCTCCGTGTCTGTACCTTAGATTAACAGTAAAATTACACAATCGGTGAGGGAATTGAAAAATGCTTTATATGACCACTTAGCTAAATTGCCATGGTGACCACTTGAACTTAGCCATAATTGGCTGTGATCCCTACCCCTGGCCTTGTTGACACGAAGCCTTATCATGCATTCTGGTCGGTGAGTGACTGCGAGAAAAGTAACTTTTGAGATTCCTCCCCCTGACCTGCCTGCTAAGACGTCTATTGAGCTCAGGAGAGCAAAGCAGCGGCCCAGGACTGCTTCTCAATATGTTGCATTCTGGGAGTTTCTGTTCTTCTCCAGTTGACAGTCTATAATTCACTAGCGACAATCCCCTCCCTCATAATACATATTTTGTTTTCTATCAACACCCTTGAAATTGGAAGTGGTACTGTGGCTCACATGGATGGATCTGAAACCATCCACAGAGATACACTTGGTGTCTTTAAAACCCTGGAGATGAAGCGAAAAGATAATTGAGGTTTTGGTGTCGATATTGCCATTTGGCAAGTGCAAGCAGCAGACCATAACACACATGTTGAGAAGAGCTTCTTTGCCGCTCTGTGTATTAGCTGTCGCGACTAACCTTTAACCCTGAAAACTCCACCGCGTCGGGATATCAGACAGTGGGAGAAAGAGCTAAAGGAATGTTTGATCAGTCCAAAAGAAAAACTAGGCCACTTTTGGAGGGTAGACGGAGTGGCGAGGGCTTGCACAGACAGAGAGCAAAGGCGTTGTTTGACGCTTGTCATCCTCCATTAAGGCTCCTTTGATTGCCCTTTGTGGTCCTGGAAACGGCAAACAGCTGCATGCAAATGGCCCTGTTTCCCCAAGGCTGGCCCCCATTGTTCTGAGCTTGGGTTTGACAGGGACGCTTTCTCTGCAGCATAAAGGAGAGACTAGCCTTTAGTCAAATAAGAGTGCCCCCACCGTGGTCCCAGCAGGAGTACTTCAAGACTGTTTGTCTTTTTATGTTGTTTTATTCCCGATATTACTGGTAACCAACATCTTAGGAAGAAAGCACAGATCTTAGAGTCAAGCTTTTCTTCCATCAGCAGGGGATGCCTCCGTAATCCAATATCCGGAGGGACAAAATGATCTTACAACATGTTTTGCTCTGTTGGAGATTTTGAATGGGAATTAATAAAGTAGGAAAAAAAGAAAAACATATTTTAATTCTTAGAAATACGTTTTACGGAACAAAGCGTCATCTATGTTTGCCTTTTATTTCCTTTTTGATCACTGGCCAAGGAATACAATTAGCTTTAAAAAAATGTATTCAAGAGGCCATTGCGTTAAACCTTTTAAATATTAAGCAAAACAAAACTACACTTCACTGTCAATGCACATGCCTTTAAACCGACAAACGCATTACTAATTTGGCTTACACTCTACAAAGAACAAAGACAACCCTCAACATTTCCACTCCCTCATTCCTACATGTTTAAGGCATTCACTGTTGCTGCCAAAAATGTGCGACACATATTCACAAATGCAGTACATGACCGCCCGTCAGAAGTGAGAGACACAGAGGACCGAGGTGGGAGATGAGAAAGGAGATTTGGGATTCAAAAAATAACACCTGCTTTTCATATACAGACAACACCCGGAGATCTCCTCATTCTGCCACAACGGCTCATATTTCATTTCAACTGCCAAAATGCGGTGCAACACTGGAAATGTAGTTGGACATATGGCACCATTTCCCATGACACTGTAGTCCTCCTCTAGTCTACCTTGCTGGGAATTGTTTCTAAAGACGATGTCAGACAAGACCACAAACCCCGGGGCTACTCCTGCCTTTCCCAGACAACTGCTATCAGACACTCTTGATTCCGATATAAGTATTCTAAAATAGAAACTGGCAATATAGGAGTCATATAGATGGAGTCCATTTGTGGTGAGATGAAGCGCACTGAGTCCTATCCCTTTTCTCCTTCTGGTGATACATGAATTCACTGTAGCCACTTCACTTTCCAAAGCTTCCATTTGTATTCATTGCCATGGCCTTTTCTCTAATTCATGTTCTGAATGTTTTTTGTGAAAAAAATGACGGAGGACTAAATCACAAGCTCAATTTTGACGCATGTCTCGATGAAGGGTTTTAAGATTGAGGATTTATTATACAGCTGAGGATAAGTGTGATAGACCCTGCGGTTGCCTCTTAACTCCTCAGGTGGGACTATTTAGAGAAAGCTTTACCCTATCACACTAGCTGCAGGCGTGTAATGTTATGCTTTTTTAAGGTTAGTAGCATTAATTTAAAAGGCAAAACCTATTTTTCCGCTTAGGTCTTATTCTCAGAAGTGTGACCATTAGGACTAATGGGTCACGCTAACCTCTCACCTTCCTTGTAAAGATTCAAAAAACGCATACAA